ATGAGCACCAAGTGAAGAATCTTTGGTGTAATCTTGTGATAATAGAGTGGTAAAAGCTAGCAATGTTCTCTTGTTAGTAACTGACAGTTCTTCAAATCACCATTTTATTTTGCCACTAAATATCGCCATTTTTGCATATTGTATCAGTGTCTTCATGTCATAAGATATAATAAAATTTAATATTATGACTATTTTGACTGATATCAAAATAAACTTAAAATTTCAAATATAACCATGAAGTACAAAGTTAATCTTATATGTTATCTTTCATATTCTCTTGTAATGTCTTTAGATATATTCCATCCACATTCACCTCTTTATATCAGTGCTGTCTTTGGGTTGTTATATTTTATCTTCTCTCAGTTAATTCCATGTTCCAGTCTAGGAAATGCCATAAAGATATATCCATGGTGCATGTTAAAATTCTGCTTCTTCTTCATTTTCTAAAATATTTCCCAGTTGGGACGTTTTTCCAATACGCTGAATTACCTTCACATTAGACCTTCACAAGTACACAATATAAAATACCTCAACGTGAATTTGCTTGTAAATTGGAAATGGATCTTTGGTCAGATATTGGTGTTATCTAGGATTGAGGTTTTATTTCACAGGGGTATCTGAGAAGATAAATAAAAACAAAGGTTTTGTCTTGGAGGTATTCTACTAAAGCTAGGAATCCTTCTCTAGCAAAGCTTTTTCTAATGAACATCTCTAGAATTTGAATGCATCCCATCCTTTTCTGCTATTTCTATACAATTAACATGTCTATATACTTATATTCTTGCTAATTTATTGAATTTACCCAGTTGTAAATTGAAGACATGGAAACCATGATGTGTTATTAAGTATTATTATTAAGTAAGTATGTTAGTTACTAAGGTAACTCAGGTAAAGATAAAGATGTCAGCCGGGTGGAACAGAAATATTTTGATGTGTTTTCCAGGTATGACCAAGATAACAAGTTACACAATCCATCTTAGGAAATCTGAGCATACATGTATTATAGACAACATAATTGCAAGTAGGTCATGCTAACCTCATTTAGAACAATCATCATTATTAACTGTAACTGCAACTCAAAGTAAAGATTGATTTTGACTTCTATCCCCTTTGCTTTCCTAGTTCATTTTAATCTTATCAAAAGAAACGGCTGCCTTTTAAATTTTCTTGTTTCAAATACAAGATCCCTTTATCTGACACAGATAAAATGTTTTGTTCTTTCCAAACCCTATTGGATTAACTCTTCAGTGCAATATTTCAACTTCACACTTTTCTCAATTTGTATTACATTGTAACTTAGAAGAATGATTGAATCTAACAAAGCATGGGATTTAATTAAACTTCTACATTTAATGTCTTGCAAAGCTTTAAGTACTAATACCATGGCCATCTATTTCATGTCATTTCTCTCTAAAATATGAATGAAATACATATTTTCTGGCATTTCTATATAATTTTGAGTGTTGACTAAATGCTGATTAACTAATCCTTGCTAATTCCATTCAATCTCACTCTATTTCACATCTTAAGCATGACCTCTGGGACAAACATCCAAGTTTTGATTCATTATTATGGTTATAATGCTTGGTTGCTTCCATCATGAGATGTTCAGAGAGATCATTGAATTATTGAGCCATCAATTCAATTATCTGGTCAACAAATTGTGCACCACAATTCCTTAAGATCTTATGATATCTATATTTCTATAGTAGCTTTTATAGATCTATTATGGAATTTGGGAAAGGGGTAATGTTTAATTACAAAATTACATAAATGACATCAATTATTTTTGAATAGGATAGTATTGCAGAAAGTCTAAAGATTCTGATACCCCCCCTCCCCATGAAGAGATGAGGAATATATAACATAATTGTAAAATGAATATTTCTCTCTGACTTACCCTACTATCACACCAAACTAGTTCTCACTACGTTCTCGAAAACGGGTTTCAACTGTGTACAAACGGATTGGACGTACTTAGAACCAGTTGGGGTCTATTTACAGACTTCATAGAACGTACTTGAACGGGTAGGTCTAGATTGACACCAAGCAAGTTGCCACTACGTTCTTCAAAACTGGTTTTAAACTGTGTGCGAACGGAATGAACGTAGCTACAATGTTCTACGGTCTGTTTACGAACTTCATGGACTTTCTCGGATGGGGAATGTGATTTAGAATTTTGAATCAATTCAAAATTCGATGGCGACCATACAGTTCTGTAATCAGGTCATGATGACCTTCTAGACTAATGGACGCATTATACGACGTTGCACACCGACGTGGTGCGACTTGAACGAACTGCGAATGAGATGGACGTATTGAAGACTGTTTATGAACGAAGTAGCTAATTATTTTAGACATATTTCCCGACCACAGCCAGATTGAGCCCATTTTACAACGTTTTCGTAGGACTGGCAAGAACGGGTAAGAACTAGTTTGGTGTGATAGGGGGGTAAGGATCAAAAAATGTTCTGACCATACTTCATAAAGTCTCTAAACAGCAATGATGTGGTTACCTTGGCAACCATAAATGAAACTGCATTTTTGCATTCAGGATTAATAAGAAGATAAGATATACGATCGTATAGAGAGATGATTCAATTGTCATCTTGATTATTCTATCTATATCTGTTCTGAATGCTAGCAAGAATTGCTTATTAAGTGAAGTTCAATCAATATATCTATTACAATAGAGCCCTTTAGAATATATCAGTTAAGGTGGGCGAAGTGGGACAACATTGGGACCTGCTGGCTAATGATAACTCATTACATTCAGCCTACCTAAACTTATGATAAAATTTGACAGAGGGCTGAAACATCACCCCAAGGAAATCATTCAAGGGACCAGACATTATTAACCTTTCAAGCAAAATGTTCAAAACAAGGCATTAACATGACAAAATTTCACCACCACCTAGAAAATATAATCAATTTGAAAAATACTTTTTTGACCTTTTTAACCTAAATACCTTTTTACCAGTCAAATCTAAAGTCAGATTTGAATTTCTGAGAACTTGTAGGTTGATGATTTTGAAAAAAAAATAAACCAATTTCAAGCAAGTTGAAAAAATACCTTTTTGACCTTTTTTTTACCTTGAGAAGGTCATTGAATGTCAAATCTCAAATCTCTATAGTCAGATTTGAAATTTTGAGAACTCGTAGATGATTTTGAAGAAAAAATGTAATCAATTTGAAGCAAGTTGAAAAAAACCTTTTTGACTTTTTTTAATCTAAAGACCTTTTTGACCTTTTTTAACTTGAGAAGGTCACTGAAGGTCAAATCTCAAATCTAAAGTCAGATTTGAATTTCTGAGAAGTTGGTGCAAGTTGAGAAGGTCATTGAAGGTCAAATCTATAGTCAGATTTGAACTTCTGAGAACTCGTAGATGATTTTGAAAAAAATCAATTTGAAGCAAGTTGAAAAAAGACCTTTTTTAAACTTTTTTTGACCTACTAAATCAGCTTTGAACTTCTGATAACTTATAGATTATTTTGAAAAAAAAAATTGAAGTCAGTCTAAACAGTATTTGTTTTGTAATTGAAACTTATAAGAATTTGTTACAGATGCCACCCGCCAATCGTAAACATTTTGTTGACCTTGAAAAGGTCAATGGAGCTCAAGTCTTAAATCTAAAGTCAGATTTGAACTTCTGAAAACTTGTAACATAAACTGTATTTGTTAAGTTATTGCATAACAAACAAAGTCTTGTGCTACTTTTTTAATTTCAAAACTGGTGTCCTATATCTAATCCAAAAACAGAATTTAATGTTTAAGCTACATGAACAGATTTGCCAGAAAACACCAGAAACTTTAATGACACATCTATTGTACATTTAGATATAAAATGGTCCAGGCTTTAGCTTGTATTCGCGAATGCAACTAACGCCTGTCGGCTACGATTAACCTACTATGTTATGGGCAACGCATTTAAATATGAATAGTACCTGCCACTATTCCATTCATATTTAAATGAGTTGGTCATAAAATAGAAGGTTAATCCGGTAGCCGCTAGACATAAGTTGCATTCGCGAATACAAGCAAAGTCAGATTGGTCTCAATATATTTTGATATGAATTGTTGAATATATAACAGTGAGTGGAATGGTTGGTGCATTTTATTAATGGCATCTATTGCAATTTCCTAGTATTTCAACCTCAATTACTTCTAGTTTAATTCCATTCCAGTTCTATCAAATTGTGCTTATGTCATCATACAGTAAAATTTAGTCGTCCTATCTACTTTTGAAATTAATATCAATAGTAGTTTCCGATCAATGTCAACAATTCTGAATTAGGAATTCTCTCAATTTTTTTATGTCATTACATTTATAAATGTGAAACTGATTTTGTTCAAATTGAAATGCCAACAATGATGCAATTTATTGCTCTTGTGGGAAAGGTCAATCTGGAACAAATAGTAGTATATTCCCAATGGAAATAATGACAATGTCAACACAACACTGCAGTGACTTCATGTTAGTCTCATCCATGTTGGAAAGCCCCTCCAATATTTCAATACTATTACACAAGGATCTCATCATCAAACCTTAAAATTAGAGACAGAATAGAAAAGATTTGCTTGAGTTTAATTCAAATATCTAATGTTAGCTCTTGCATTTGGGATCACTACTTAAGTGATAAAAAGTGTGAAATGTATATTTTCAAGAACTAATAGTACTTCCCTAATGGTAGTTATACATGTGCAGTATGTGTTCACAAAAACAATGCACAAATAAATCAAACTGAAAAATAAAATAATTAATAGAGAAGTACTTCACTTTATACATGTTTAGTGCCTCCAGTTATATTGAATGCAAAATAATAATTCTGGTCAACCTTATTTCTCCTAATTTCTATCATTTTTTCAAGATAGAAGTATATTCATTTTGCCTTTTTCTAATCACTTTATTGAATATAAGAATGAAACAAGACCAAAATTACATTCCATCAAATGTATATGATTTTAATTACAAATCCAATGTATAGATGTCAGCACATACCTGGTGGTAGAGTAGAAGATCTCAAACTGTCTGCAGATTTTGTAGATCCTGTTCCAGAGTAAGTCATGCCACCTATACCACTATCAGGGTAACTATCACGGACACACTGGTTCCGCAAATGCAGCTCATACTCTATGTTTTCCCGATTTTGTTTGTTAACCAAGCGTGGATCCTGCTGGACATTCTGAATATAGGTGTCCTCCTGGTGAAACCTTGGGCTCAGCCTTTTAAGTGGTTCTTGAATGTGATCATCAGGTATAATTGGCTTATTCAACATTTTATGTATTTCTACATTGTCATAATAATCACCCTCAACATCACAAGCACCATCCTCCTCATCTGTGTCATTGTTATCACTACTTATATCAGATGGGGGAATATTTTGTTTCATTGGGGTATTCGTTGTATTTGTGTTATTAATATTGTTAAAGCTGAATACCTGCTGTTGTGTCCCCTTCCTCGGGGATGCTGGTAAAGATCGTAACATCCGCTCAAGGGTTCCACTATCAAAACTTGCAACGCAAACTGGGTTTTTTGGTGTAGTTGGTGTGAGGGGTTCAGGTGGAAGGGGCCAATCGGGGGAGCTTGAAGAATGACTATTATGGGGTGGTGTTAAGGGAGATATGTCATGAGACGCACCACTGTTTGGATCTGAACCTGGTAAAAGTAAACCACCTTTATTTGATGATTGTCTTTGTTGTTGATACACATTAGAAGGGGTCTCTGACTGTTTGGAAGGGCTCCTTATAATATTACCATTACTATTCTGATGAGCACTGCTCTGTTCATGATCACGAGCCTCAATAGATGCAGGTTTGAAATGTTCCCCTTCTTGAATTGTTTTACTGCCATAATCACTATGAGGTCTGTACATGCGCAGTGAATTACTTCCACTGTCATAACGGTCATATTTAGTTGCCCTTCGTGGGGCTCCTCCATAACTAACATTATCATACACTGAGTTGTTAGATTGGGGCTTAATGATTTCCCCTTGGGGTCCAAATATGGTTCTCGCATCAGGAATATGCCTGCTGCGCCCTCTAGGGAGGGTTGCAACAGCTTCCACTGTGCTGGGTCTAAATCCTCCTTCATCATCATCATCTAGACTGTTATTGGTCGAAAGATCGTCTGGTGTCGAAAGGGCTCTTCTGGGTGTCCCTACAGGGGATGTTGGGGCAGAGATACCTCTCTTGCTACGTAACCTCTGCAAATACAATGGATAACAAATATATACTATGGGAAACCAATATCAGGGTGTACATTGTACAAGAATATCACAAGTTCACAGGAACACTGGCTCCTATTCATCTCCTGAAAGGCAAAATTATCACTTTTATCATCCAGGGTGATTTTGGAAAGTTGAAATAATATTAACAACAACACATTCAACAGCTGTAATTACTTTGCTGAAATTGCATAGGTATAAAATATGATCATGAGGTAGAACAATCTCCAGTTACAATCCTGTCATTACTGAAGAAGCGTCTCACAACACTAAGGAGACACTGAATTAGTCAGCTATGTTCATCCAGGCCAAACCACAACACTGTGGCTGTGTCATTAGACTGAGCTCAATATATCACCAACTTCAAGTCTAACAATGGTCATTAACTAAATGAAATCTCATGGACATTTTTAATAAATCCTGCCATCTTTTGCTTCATTAGCAAATAGCTTACATTGGAATTGGTTAGACTGATTATGTTGCAGGTTGTAGTTAATCAATATTAGCAATAAGTTCAACCTGTCCTCCATGAATATGTTGCTACCAGCTACCTGTTACAGACCTGATGACAACAGGCAACCTATGACATCAGCAATCTAGACAATACATCCTAGCTGCTTTGATGTAACAAAATATAGTTGGGTTCATTAGAAGTCAGTTGAAATAAGATTCTGGAAACAGCCTCCATACTAATTCTAATTGTAATTAGAGCACACAATTGCTTGGCCAGAAGGGGAGGTCTCAACTAATATGGAAAGAAGAGTTGTAACAGTGGGAGATACTGCACAAGTTCTATACCTTCTAAATTCAAAAATAGAACAAATAAATATTTTTTGTCATAATAAACCTGAATTAATGACTTGGATGCCATAATTGGATAGCACATCAATTAACAGATTGAATAAGCAATACAGCAATTGACAGATTGAATAACCAATACATCAATTGACAGATTAAATAAGCAATACAGCAATTGACAGATTGAATAACCAATACATCAATTGACAGATTGAATAAGCAATACAGCAATTGACAGATTGAATAAGCAATACAGCAATTGACAGATTGAATAAGCAATACAGCAATTGACAGATTGAATAAGCAATACAGCAATTGACAGATTGAATAAGCAATACATCAATTGACAGATTGAATAAGCAATACAGCAATTCACAGATTGAATTAGCAATACATCAATTGACAGATTGAATAAGCAATACAGCAATTCACAGATTGAATTAGCAATACATCAATTGACAGATTGAATAAGCAATACAGCAATTCACAGATTGAATAAGCAATACAGCAATTCACAGATACATATCAAGTGCCATATTAGTCCTGCATCAAGCCCATGTTTTGCTCCCTAATCACTCTTGTTACCAGAAGTTATTTGGGTAGGGGTCAAAGATTTAATGAAAAAGGTTTTTAGGTATAACTGCATATCAGAGCAACAAATGTAGCTAACTGAAATGCCAAGGGATAGCAAATCCCATCAAACATCTTACCAAGCAGCAGACAAGACTGCCAGTCAACATTCCTCCAAACACCCACCATATTATATAAATTGTCAAAACAGAATATATACAGCTTGCATGAATTTATATATCTAATAATAATAAAAATAAAATTGGTCTTTTTCATTTTGACTTATAAGGCATCATAACATACAAAATGCCACCACCTGCCATTTGTTACAGCTGCCAACCACCAAATATAAAATGCCAAACACCAAATACCAAACATCAACCACCAACTGCGGAACCCTGTCGGAACCCTGTGCACAAAAAAGTGCACCACTTGTGCTGGTTACATAAAACTGTTTCAGAATAATATTGCCTAGAACTCAGTGCTGACATTTCTTAAAGTGACCAAAGAATTCATTCCACCTTTACATTGCTTGAAATCTTATACTGTCAATTCCTATTTAGCAACCAATTTGTAATATACTAGGTGCCGAATGAAGTTACCAAAAGGAAGCTGATTTATTGTTTAATCAATAGCACATCCCTGAAGGCGTCAAAACATTCTAAAAAGTCCATTTAGCAAACTAAATGCAGTTACTGGGAGAAGCCACTGAGTTCAACGTAAAATATTAATCTCTTGCGTGTTGTCTATGAATACAAAGTCATAGTAGGGATGCCATAAGAACACTCATTAGAGACAAATGAGTAGATTTCAACAATTAAAGGTAAACAAAGCTAAAGACATGAGCAACCATAGAAATGCCAAGGCAAAAGACAACATACAAGAAATGATGTAAACATGTTTAAGTTGCAGGATCCTTCTACACTCCTTAATGATCTACCATTATCACAGATACTAGAATTCACTGATTTCGCCGCAGAAAAACCACAGAATTTTGGTTTTCAAAATGCTTGCAATATTACAATGTACTAATGGTACTTTACATGGTACTAAAATTACACTAACGCTTTATAAGCACGTTTGGTAACCTTGGTAAAGACTATGTCATCAATACTGGAATTCTGAGAGATGGTGTGAAATTCATTAAAGTTGTCAGGCAGTACTATGACAACACATAGCATTTGATATAATGTAGCCTTAATCAACAAGATGTGCTAAACGGGGCTTTGGGATATGTTTTCTCAAATGTTTTTGTTTGGGTGCATGTTACTAGAGAGGTTAAGCAACACTACTTTTTACAATGTAAACCAAGAATGGGAAGGAGTGTGTAGGTTTTTCTCAGGACGTGACGTCATATTGTTCTACTTGTTTCCCAGTTTACATTCATCGCAAATTAAGAAATCAAAGTCTGGGTAGGTTGTTCCATAAAGGATTTGTACAACTTTATCAAGCTCAATCGAGATAAATATGATATAAGCCGAATGTATCAATATGTTTGACACAAATCTGTGTATATATCGAGACCATAACTTGAATACCGAGGCACCCATTTTGTATGTAAATTCTGATGAGATTACCAACATGGCGATTGTCCACATGTCAACTGATCTCAAATCTACTATACATATTGTGTTTCTTCAATCAATTGCTTTAGGTCTTCATAAGAATACAATGTAATTGTATCCTGTTATATCTTGTAAGATTCAAAAATCATAAAACACTGCCAGACTGTAAAACATCTCCCTTTGTTAATCACTTTCATCAATTTGTCATTAAAATGTTTTTATACTTTTTAAGTAGAAAATGGAACATAAAGGCTAAGAGCAAAAAGAAAAGTCATTTTGGGGTTTACGTTTGTTCAGTATCTAAAGTGCTTAGCTTAAAGCATTTTTGTTCATAGAACGTAAATGGGAACATATAGGTTTACATTTGCGCTTCACATTATAAAAAATCGTCTTGCTTAACCTCCCTACTATTTATTTTTTTGTTGATCATTTTTCATAAAGTAATATCTATGGTGTACGAGGGAGAAGTTGGTAAGAGTTACAAAGTTACCGATATAGATAATGTGCAAAATATGTCTTTTGAGACAACCCCTTTCACCATCACTCCCACAGTAAGGCTGTGACCAGTGACCACAGATGGTATCATGGTATGTTATCATGATCCCTTCAGGTATATTTTCAACATGCTTTATTGTTCTCTAATTGGAAAACATGTTATTATAGAAGTCATTCTCCTAGAAACCGTTCAATGACCAGAACAGAATGTTTAATGAGAAATTTGATATATTTGATATTTCATTATTCAAACTACATCTGAGAGACTGTCTGGTGTCTAATACCTTCAATTGATATGATACAACTTTACCCTGTATAGGTCCTATCAATTTAAAAAAACATTTCAAGAAATAAAAATGGATGAATTAAAGAGAATTCAATTTGGCTACAAAATTGTCCAAGTACTGTATATATAGTTATATACATGAACATTGAGATTTTTTTATTAGCAAAGCAAAATCACAAGTTCAGACCAATTAAAGGCAAAACAAATGCCATAAATCCAAATCCTCTCTGTAGTGAACACCTCATTAACGTGAACATTTATCTCAACAAAAAAATGTTCACTATATCCATGTAGAGGTTTTACTGTACACTCTTTATTGCTAACAAATTCAAACAAATACATGATTAGTGATGCATGTTGACCACATGTGCATATGCTTCTTATTGTTACTTATGTCTTTGTTATATATGAAGCCCAGAGGCAAACAGAAGCATTAATAACAAAGTGAAGGCCTCTCAGTGACCAAAACACTTCATATTATATTATTTTTTCTCCGAACATTTGTACAACCTAATGTGACTCATGTTATGAGAGTTCATTTTCTGGGAGAATCCGCTTGAAATAAGGATGGACCAAGGATGGACGGATGCCTGGTCGATCCCATAGGCTCACTGTGTGAGCCCAAAACGATTGTAGAGGGCTACCTAAACAAAGCTTCTGTTTAAGATGCGATAGACCCGACCATAACATAATATCAGGAAGGAAAGCAATTGTGGGTACCACATATTCTTTGACTTGGAGTTGATTAATTAAGCGACTGTCAAGGGATAAGTCAGCTTGAGTTGATCATTACTTCAAGAGAAAATGTCAATTAGATCAGATGTTATTTATTTTATCTTGAGGACAATATGTTTGTGTCATTATGACTGCTAATATTAAGACAGAAGTGCCAAAAAGTGACAACATCAGAGAATGCGTTACACTGATTGATGAGCATGGGTGAAGAAATAACAAAATTAAAAGATTTTAACTGCCCAATTTCCCATAGTGCTTAATATTCTATTTCCCTTGTTCAGATGGGCATAGCTTGTAGTCAACAACATAAATACAGATTCATCTTTCTTTTCAATTTCTGCCACTCACCCAGCATTGAATCAATCAAATTATGTATTTTTCCATGTTTACATCAGGCATTTTCAACTTGGAGCCTACAAGTCCTTTAGTAGTGCATAAACAAACCAAACAAGACAAAATTCAAACAAACTGGCCAAACCTACCAAACAACCAAAAACCTATCAAGCAATTAGCAATCAAACAACATACCT